CCCCCCACAACAAAAGTCTATTGTGAAGATAGAGGAGATGGTAAATTTTGGTACCAAAATTGTTTGTGAACTGATATGAAACTATTTCTAGTATCTATGTATCTATCTATGTATCTATCTATCTATATATGTTTATATGTACATATATATGTATGTATCTCTCTATCTATCATCTATCATTATCCATCTATCATCATTTATCATTTATCCATCCATCCATCCATCCATCCATCCATCCATCCATCCATCCATCCATCTATATCGCATTAATCAGAGGATGCTATCAGCTCAACACTTGCAAATCTTAGAGGCTTAGCATAATATAAGCTTGTCACTCACACACAGTGAAAGATACAAGTGGGGAGGGAGCTCTGTTCCATGAAGTCATTCAGAGACTTGAGCTCCTTCCACTTTGTGGCAAGGCCAACTGAAATGTGTGACTTTCACAGTCTCCACAAATGGAGAGAGAAAGGAGTTGTGGTCACTTCCACTTACATCCCATTGGTAAAAACTCAGTCATACCCCACCCAACTGCATGAGAGGCTGGGATTATAGCCTAGTCATGTGATCACGAAGTGGAGCCCATGGGCATTGGTGGTCAGTAGCAATCACTGTCATGTTTATTGTTTATCATATTTTGGCTGCACGAATATTACGCATTTGATAGTAGCATGCTGCAGACCCTGCTGGAAACTTTATATAATGTAGAGTATATGCACAGCATCATCTTTCTAAATCTGCAAGACTCTGGAGGACAAAACTCAGCTGGCTCTGAGGACTTCAGAGGAGGGGCTAGGGATCTATATCCATACCTCCCAGGCAGGATAGCACAGGTGCTAAGAGATGCCTCCTGTGGCCATACTGCCTGAGTTTGAATCCTGGCTCAACTGCTTTTTAGATGTGTGACCTTGGGCAGGTTGATTAACTTTCCTGTGATTCCTTTTCCTGATTTGCTAAAAAGCAGATAAAAATAGTACCTATGGAGATGAAATGAGTTAGTATACGTAATTTCCTCAGCACAATGCCTGCCCCATAATGAGTACTAAACGAGGGTCAGTATTATTGTGTGTAGCTATTATTATCGTTAATGTTATTTTTAAACATTCAGTACAGTGACTAACAGCATCACGCACAGAGCAATCACTACTCTTTGCTTGAATATATTCATGATAAGAAATTACTGTTGAATAAGACAACCAATGTCAATATTCACTGGCTTTGTCAGAAGAATCTCCCATGTAATAACTGCTATGGTAATGACTAATAAATATTGAGCATGTGTTTGGTGACAGGTATTGAGTCAAGTCTTTGACCGACGTCATTACCTGTTTTTTTCTTACATTACTCTGGGAAGCAACTTTGCTTACTGATGGTTCATAGATCTGAATCTATTGCCCAGAGAGTTTAAACACTTGGCTTGGGTCTCACAGCCACTTGGGGGCAAAATGGGGTTTGGATCCAGTTATATTTGGATTTAAGACCCCTCCTGTTTCATTCACTCTGCCCTTCAGTTTTAAGCAAATTAAGTAGAAAAAGTCCATTTCTCTTTATTATGGAATTAGAATGGTCTCTTCTGTACCTCTCAGAATGCTATTGCTGCTCAAAATGTGTTCACTGCCTAATCATTTCTGTTTTCTAGAAACTTTCCAGGTAGCTAATCGATTTAGAAAAAAAACTATAATAGCTTAGTGTTAAATTTGATTTTAATATAACATTTATTAATTTAGCCATTAGTTTGCCTTTAGAGAAAAGACATTTTCCAACATGCTTATAGTCTATAGCCATTACAACAAATTTCCCAAATTATAATCAACATTCATCATAATTGCCAACATTTGGCATAAATATTATAATAGCAATGTTATGTATGGTCCCATATCGTTAATCCCAGATTAAATTTACATGTGAAATTAGATACAATATGCTATAGGTAATTGATGATACGTTTCTGTTACATAAATAATTTCAAGAAATCACTAGTAGTTTTTGTCTTATTCATTCTTTGCAAACTAGCTACAAAAGATTTTATTAGGTGCATTGGAAACTTTGACTTTTGTTTTGTAGCTAAACTAAGGCTGTGCTGAAATTAATCTTGGTAAAGTACATGGAACACTAATACAACATTATATGTGACAATCGAAGAACACTAATACAACATTATATGTGACGATCGTAAGCTGCCCTCAGTAGAAGAACCAGTACAGGGGCCTGGTACTTACGACTCCCCTATATCCAAAAAGCGTACCCCCCCAATTACTTTGTTTCCATTACGCATATTAACAATTTTGTACCCAGTTCCAATGTGTGTATGGGAGGGAAAGACTTCCTCACACCACCAAGCAATTCTCCAACACCAGCTGAGTGTCCTATGATTTAACTCAATTCTGATGCTTTCTACCTAGAGATAGCGCCAGACACCACACGATAAAGGAATAGTTCTCTAAGACCGCTCTCCCCGTCCTCTCCCACACTTTAGATGTCAATTGCAAGTCCAGGTTGCCACCTATGCTTCTGACTGACAAGCTACATATTGGAGGCTCCAACAAATCCCTACTTGAGCTTCATTACTTTGCTAGACCAGCTCACAGAACTTAGAGAAACATTTTACTTACTAGATTACCGGTTTCTTATAAACTGATATAATCCGACAGGAACATTCTGGTAGAAGAGATGCATGGGACAAGATATATGGGAAGGGTTACGAAGCTTCCACGCCCTCTCCCAGCACACCACTCTCCTCAAAGCTCCACATGTTCAGCAACCTAGAAGCTCTCTGAACTCTGCTCTTTTGGATTTTTATGGAGGCTTCATTACACAGGCATGATTGATTAAAGCATTGGCCTTGATGATTGAACTCAACCTCCAGCCCCTTACCCCTCCCCACAGGTCTGGGGGCGGGTAGTGGGACTGAAAGTTTTAACCCTCTAATCACATGTGTGGGTCTTTTGGCAACCAGTCCCCAGCCTTAGGTGAGGTCGGAAAACAACCTCATTAACACAACAAAAGACACCTGTATCGCCCTCATCATGTAAAACCAAGTGTTTTAACTCTGTGCGAGAAACTAGGAACTAGGATCAAATATATATATATTTATCATAAGTCATGATATCACAGGTGTATTTTAAAAAAACAGAATTAATTACCAAGTAAAATAATGGACAATTCCATTTCCTAGAGACCAAGTACGGCCATTCAGAATATAAGCAAATAGATGAGTTAAGCATTCTATCCCCAGTTCTAACAAAAATAAAAGGCAACAGTCGTCACAGCTGATCAGAATTAGTGTTTATTCTCCCAGCATTTAGATTTAAATATATTACTATCTATGACATTATGACATGCTACATGCCATCTGAATGACATCAGTATATATAAACATATATATGTGTATATACATGTTTATTTATATATATAGTGCAATTTTGTTCATGAAATACTATATATAAAAATCAGTAGTTAA